TGATTCGGAAGCTGGGGGGGTGACAGTGGGACGGTCAAACGTACAGTTCGGGGGAGGGGTGGCATGTGCTTCGATTGAACCCGAGAAGAGGTCCGACACTGTAGATGCGGATCTAATTGAAGTAATTGTGAGAGACAGGGACTTTGAAGCTTCCTTTTTTGGAAGAATCTGGACTGAAGTATCATTGGATAGAAGGGAAGGCTCCGGTATTGAAGAATAAGGTGAGCCGTTACAACCATGAAATGAGCGCGGAGAAGGTTGCTAGCTTTGAGCAGGAGGTGGAGAAATGGATAAACGAGGGAATATTGATGCCTTGGGACGAAGAGGTCGATGAAGGGATTATTCCGCTGATGGCGGTTGATCAAGTCAACAAAAACAAGGTGAGGCCTGTGCTTGACTTTAGAGTGTTGAACGAAGCAGTGGAGTGCCACACAGGCGACGATCTCATAGACGTGTGCGATGATGTGTTAGGACAGTGGAGGCGGGTGGAGGGCGACACTGAGATAGTTGATCTGAAGGCAGCATACCTACAACTACATGTCAGTCGGGAATTATGGAAGTATCAACTGGTGAGGTTCAAAGGAAAGACCTACTGCCTGACGTGGTTAGGTTTTGGGCTGAACTGTGCGCCGCGAATAATGACGAAAGTGTTGAAGACCGTGCTGGAGCAGAGGGATGATATTCGATGTTCCACAAGTTCATATATTGATGACATTTTGGTGAATGTGTCCCAAGTCAGCTCAGAGGATGTTATTTCGCACTTGAGGAGGTATGGGCTTGTTGCCAAACCGGCAGAGAAGTTGGAAGGTGGAACTGCGCTGGGGTTGAAGCTTTTTAGGGGTCCAGCGGGCAGGTTGTGGTTTGGACGAAGCGGGGAGTTACCAAGGGTGAATCGTCGACTGACGAAACGAGAGTTGTTTTCACTGTGTGGGAAGCTCACTGCACATTATCCTATTGCGGGATGGCTAAAGTTGGCATACAGTTACGTGAAACGCCATTCAGGGGGAGAGAAATGGGACAGCTATATTTGTGAGAGGGCTCAGGTAATGGTGGAGGAGATTGTAGCGCGTGTTGGAAAAGATGATCCGGTCAGGGGAGAACATCCCACTGATGGCACCGTCTGGTGTGATACGAGTGACTTATGCGAAGGCGTAATCCTAGAGATAGACGGAGTGGTGGCTGAGGATGTGGCCTGGATGAGAAAGCCAGATGATTATCACCATATAAACGTGGCAGAATTGGCTGCGGTACTGAACGGTGTGAACTTAGGGGTGAAATGGGGGCTTAAAGATATGCTTATTATGACAGGTTCGGTTACTGTGGGCCGATGGATCGATTTGACCTTGTCAGAAGAAAGGCGAGTCAAGACTGCGGGTGCAGCAGAGATCTTGGTGAAGCGCAGGTTGGCAGTACTGAAGGAGATGGTTGAAGAACTGGGACTAACAATCCGGGTACAGATCATAGGGTCGAAAGGCAACAAGGCGGATGCGATGACCAGGGTTAGGAAGGAGTGGAAGGAATGGGCCAAAGTCGACAGATTGGGTTGTGGGGCGGTTGTTTTTTCTGCAAAGGAACTTCACGATCAGCATCACTTTGGAGTGGAAAGGTCATGGTATCTGGCACGACAGGTGGACCCAAGCATCACGAAAGATCAGATGAAGGATGTGGTGAGGGGTTGTGAGAAATGTCAGTCCATCGATCCCGCACCGGTCGGACACACGGTTGGGGAGCTGAGCATAGATAGAAATTGGGAACGTTTGGCAATTGACGTTACCCATTATTGCGGCGTGCCGTATTTGTCAATGGTGGATTGCGGCCCAGGTAGATTCGCGATCTGGCGACGGCTGAGAAATGAGCAAACGGAGCAAATTATTTCTGAATTGAGGCAGGTGTTTTACGAGCGAGGCCCAGTCACTGAAGTGCTGATGGACAACGCGGCAGCCTTTAGATCGACGGCTTTTATGGATTTCCTTGCAGGATGGAACGTGGGGCCTTTCTTCAGAGCGGCCTATCGACCGGGGGGGAATGGAATAGAGGAAAGGAATCATCGGACTATCAAAGCGATAGCGGAGCGAGGAAACATGTCGCCGGTGGATGCAGTATTTTATTACAATTGTTCACCGAGGTATAGACAAGAGGAGACCTCTGTGCCTCAAAGGTCGGTCTTGAGATATGAATGGAGACTACCAATAGTTGTTCCGGTGGAACACGAGGGAGAGTCATCGACTACAGTAACAGTGGGTGATGAGGTGAGGGTTAAACCACCTGATGCCAAGTGCACAACTCAATGGGATCGGGGAGTTGTGACCAAGATCAATTCCACGAATAATGTCGAAGTGGACCATATGCCTCGGCATATACAGGATGTGAGGGTCGCCGGAGATCGCGACCAGCATGTGGCAGTCCACGAGGAGGCTCAGGAGGTGCAACCACGGGCAGAAGTCGGACGTCGGTATCCTCAGCGACACAGGCGGGAGCCAGCGTGGCATGGTGATTATGAGATGTAGTATTAAGATGGAGGCAAGGATGGGAGGTAACGTTGAGGGAAGGGGCCTTTTGGATAACTATGTATGCTTTGCTTATACATAGGTGATCGTTTGACAGGTAGTCAGAGCGTTCTTTTTGAGTTGTATTTAAGTCACGTGAATAGAGGTCACGTTACAATCTTTTTTGAATATTCTGCGTCAGGGAGGAGGATGCGCCTTTCTGCGATACTTGTCGGGGTGTGGGCATGGTTCGATGATATAAGGGGTTGGCCGGGTGGAGATAACTACAGGAACGGTCGAGATAACTACATGTTTTGCTTATACGTATGCGATCGAATGACAGGTAGTCACAGCGTTCGCTTCATGTCTCGTTTGAGTTTTCTAGTTGGAGACGAGCTTTTTTGAGTACGTTCTGTCAGGGCAGGGGATGTACCTTTGCGGGGGACCTTTAGATTCGAGACTCTTGTGTTGCCGTATATTGGATGGAATCTTTTTGTTAAAAGTTGTTCTTTTTGTGTTTGTTTTGCTGGTGCTTATCTGATATGGTGGGGAATGAACATGGGATGGTGGAATGGGATCGAGGTAGTTGATTTAGTATAAAACAAGGGGGCGTGTTATTAGAGAGATGAATAATCGAGAGTTACGGGCCCATGAGACTAGGGGGCGCTGGGCGGGCCGAACAGAGTTGCCGCCCCGTGACACTAGGGGCGCTGAAACATGGGTATAAAGGCGAGGCGGGAATTCTGTGCTCCCCTTCTGATCCTTCTCAGTTTCTGCTAGAGACCAGAGTGGCCGACGTCGTCGTAGCTGCCGGCGAAGTGACCTCTGAGGGCCCGACGACACGATCTAAGCCGGCCAGCGCAGGCGCGTCGTCACGTTCGAGATCCTCACGTCTTCTCCAGTGAGTGAGTTGACGCCAGTCGGTAAGTACAGTCTTTCTACCTCGCAATCACAAAAGGCTTAGGGTTAGAGGCAAGGATTTTGGATCAAGGAGCTAGCAGCTAGGGTCAGGGTTTAGAGCTTAGGATTTTAAGTTTTACGACTAAGGAGTTAGGGGTTAGGGTTCAGAATTGGATCAACGGGCGAGTTTGACATTCCCGTTATCTGTACATTACATGTAGCAGACTATCTCTTTGTGTAGGTACGAATTCCTGTGTGCACGCGCGTGTGTGTGTGTGTGTGTGTGTGTGTGTGTGTGTGTGTGTGTGTGCATGTGTGTGTGTGTGTGTGTGTGTGTGTGTGTGTGTGAGGACTCCATTCTCTGTAATACATTTCAAAGCTCTCCCCGCCCGTGGAAGAGTCAAAAAATAAAATTAAAACGTAAGAGAAAGTTGAACAATGCAAGGTGTGGGAATTTTAATGTTTCATTTAGCTTGCGTTTGTAAGTTTGTTAGCTTATTCAGTATTTAAGGCCATATCACATCAAACATTCATTTATTAAATAAATAAATAATAAATAATAAAACAATAAATAAATAAATAAATAAATAGATAAATAAATAAATAAATAAATAGATAATAAATAAATAAATAAATTAATTAATAAATACACAGGCTCTGCACATATCTCTTCTCATGGGTCGATTATTGCATATTTCTATCTCTGGATTGAGTCAGGTGGAAGGTTGGGGATGGGAGATAGGGCGGAAATTAACCATTTTCTTTTGTGGGCAAAATTTCTACTGATAAAAATTGTTATTTATTGGAAGGATATGAGTTTTTGAACACAGCTATAACTCTTCTGTTCCAATACCGTGGGACCTTGATGGTATACATAACTGTTTCATGAAAAGGAATTGTCTGAGAAAATAAATTATACCTGCGACAGACTTCTTCCTTTACGTTCTGCACAAAAATGACCGACAAGCCTTTTATTTTACTTCCCTGGGCAATAAGCTTGGCTATCAGCATTTTGATGAAATCAGGTGCACCCAAACCTTAGAAAAAATAATAGGTTTTTAACTTCCGTAGTTCAACTGACTCTGCCCAATTCACGGGAACCATATAATTGTATGCAAAATTTATTAGAATATTTACCAGTTTCTAAGGGTATAAGTCTGCATCAGAATTTAATGGCACGATACATACAATCAGAATATAAATACATGCAATTACTTCTTCCCACTCTCTCAGAACGAAACACTTGGATGTAGTTTTGCCACGACCCAGAGCCACTTTCCAAAGTTTTACTTGAACATTGTCAATCACGTCCTAAATTTTGGTACCCCCATATTCTAGAGACATAAAGCAGCCATTGCTTTAATCTTTACATCATTTTTTTTTGTTATTGTTGTTTCTAAATCTGATTATTGGATTGAACTGAAAAGCCTTCTTGTTCGAGAAATTATCCCCCGAGCTTTACAGGCCCGATCTTGTAGCGTTCGGCTCCAGCATAGACTGGAAGAAAATGAAAATATGCCCAAGTATCTATAATACGGTACAGCCTCTCTGATGTTACCCTCACAGTACCATCTCCCATACCTTTTGATGCAGCCTCCTTTCTTAAAAACAACAATCTCACTTTCCTCCGTGTTCATCTTTAAATCCTGTATCTGACTCACGGCGCACGAAATCAGCCGAAATCGCGCCTTTTAGTTGTACCGCGGCTCCTGCCGCCCGGCGGTGATTTATCACCTCGCCCGGTACCTGTTGACCTTTTTTATTGGGGTCATTTGACCCCGTCGCACCGTTATAAAC